TGATGACGGTGGGTGGATGGGTGAATGGATGGATGGGTGAATGGATGGATGGATGGGTGGATGGGTGGATGGGTGGGTGGGTGGGTGGGTGGATGGATGGGTGGATGGATGGGTGGATGGATGGATGGGTGGATGGATGGGTGGTGGATACTAATGCTCTAAAACAGCAAGTCCAAGGCCTCTGTCTACATGAAACTCTGTCTGAAAATAAAATAATACAAAAGTAATAAAATAAATTATGAATTCCATCTTCTTTTCCCTTTTTTGTGCTTTGTTTTTTTTTTTTAGACAGTGTTTCTCTGTGCAGCCCTGGATCTGAAAATCGCTCTGTAGCCCAGGCTGGCCTCAAACTCACAGAGATCCCCCTGCCTCTGTCTCCTGAGTGCTGGGATTAAGGGTGTGCACCACCACACCTTGGCTTTTGAATTCCATTTTCTAACACTTATATTTTACAGACTTCAAACTTAAGGGTGATTTGCTTGGATTTGTTTTGGGATGGGGCTCCTGTAGCTCAGGTTGGTCTTGAACCCTGATCCTGCCTTCAGTACCCCTTTCCCTTCCCTGGGTTCATCCTGCCCCGGTATTTTGAGACTAGACATCTGCCTTCTCCCCCTCTGCAGAGGTCATGTGACCAACATGGGGTGGGAAGAGTTGCAGGGTCACAGCTGAAGCTGAAGCCTCCGTGACGTGCAGGGACTGGAACGGTTTGTCACACTTGCCAACCCTCGGCCTTCGTCCCAGGCACACTCTGTGGCCAGACTCCTCTGCTGGTCACGGCCCCAGAATAGTTCAGCATGAGACAGGGACAGGGGAGGTGGCTTCAGGGCAGCCAGGTTCCTGCCTGGCCACTCGGGCAGCCTGAACAGGATTCACAGAGTAAAGAATGAACTAGGCAGCTGAAGCAATCGTTCAGTGGTTAGCGCAGCGGCTGCTCCTGCAGAGAACTGGGGGGTGGGGGGTCTGCTCCCCAGTACACACACGGCAGCTCACAACCATCCATACCTCCAGCTCCAGGGGACAGGACGCCCCCTTCTGGCCTCTGTGGGAACGGCACACATGTGGCGCACAGACCGAAATGCAGGCAAAACATCCATCCGTACACACAATGAGAAAAACCGAGCACAAACACACATCCACACACAGCCCACGTAACCCATGCACACAATGTAACAAGACCGTTTTTAAATGCTGAGAGCAGCTTGCTCAGTCTCCCCAGAACATTCCAGTGTCCTGGGGAACCCCCTTGCCCTCAGCACACTGGGGCGGTGTGTGTGTGGGGGTGTCTGTGTTTTAAGATTGGGTCATTGCATGTCCCGTATCTGCAGAGGCCATGAGGGAAAGGTGCTTGCCCAGGGTCACTCAGCAGACTCAGAATCTGAACCCAGGTCTGTGGCCTCCCCTGCTGGGCAAACAGCGCCTCACTGTGCATCCCCGGCCTGCTGGGAAAGCTCCTCAGAGCCTCCCCCGATGAGAGGGTCCCAGGACAACCGCCTACTCCAGCCTTGCTCTAGCAGAGCTGGCCATTGTTTAGAGGGCTTCTCCTACCACCCACGCAGACACAAGCTCCCCACAAACACCCCTGATGTCATCAGCATTCTTAGCTGAGGGATGGGACAGCCCTGGACAGACACAGGACACCCTGATATGGCAGCCCAGAGCAGCAGTGAGTGGATCCATCCCTCTTTGTGGCTGAGGATGCTAAGTCCCTGTCCAAGGTCTGTTATAGAAAGGTGGGTTCAGGCTGGGCATTTTGACACAAGTCTATCACCCTAGCACTCACTGGGAGGCTGAGGCAGGAGGATCAAGATGTCAAAGTCGTTCTTGGCTACATAGTGAGTTGGAGGCCAGCCTGGGCTACATAAGACCTTAAAAAAACAAAAACAAAACCCTCAGGTTAGTGGCTGTGTCCTCCTGAGGGTCCTGGGTGATGTCTGGAGACACATGTCCCATTAGGGGAGCCCCAGGCACAGAGTGGGTGGAGTCAGGTACACTGCTCAGTGCCCTCCAGAGCCCAGGACACCCCACACAGAACATCCAGCCAGACATCCCCACAAAATGAGTCCAAGGCTCCTCTGTCTCCGGTGTGGGTCACTGTGCTGACCTGGACACTCACACGCCCTGGAGCTCAGCTAGGTCATCCACAGGTCCCGGGGAGCTGGCCATCTATAATGTCCCCCGCCTGGATCCCCGTCACCACCTGCCATCTGGCCATATGAGCCACTGCACCCAACTTTACTTAGGTCCAGGGGATCTGAACCCGGGCCCTCCACATCCTCGGTGAAGACTTTATCCACAGGACCGACTTCCCAGCTCAGAGGACCCAAGTGCCCTGCACCACCACTCAGCCCTAAGACTGTCACCCCACCCCACCCTGCACACCCCAAGCCCTGATGACCAGGCACAGAAGCTGAGGTGACCCTCTGATCAGGACCTGGAGGCGGGCATCGGCATGGCCACCTGTCGCTGGCCTCAGCTCGCACTCAGCAGAGTTCTCAGTCAGCACTTACAGCCCAGGGCCCCACCTGGGCCAACACCAGCACCTGAAAAGGGCACTGCACTCCCGACAGTGGGTCCCCGAAAGCCCGAGAAGGGGGGGCATTCCCGGAGCTGACTGGAGGACCAGCCAAGGCCAGAGGGGAGGGGCTGGCAGGAGGAGGTAGAAGCTACCAGCTGTAGATGTCCCCATGTCACCACCCCCACCCCCAGATCCACCATGCCGGCTCTAGAGACTGCAAGTGGTCGGAGAGATGAATGTCCACCTCCTTGCCTCTCTATCCAGGAGGTCTGGGGCTAGGGGGACAGAGGTGGGATTGGGGACACACCTTAGGACCCCATCTATGCATGTGGGACAGCCACAAAATGCCTTAGGCTAGGTGGAGGGGTGCACCCCTTTGATCCCAGCTCTCAGGAGGCAGAGGCAGGAGGATCTCTGTGAGTTCGAGGCCAGCCTGGTCTACAGAGTGAGATCCAGGACAGCTAGGGCTACGCAGAGAAACCCTGTCTCGGAAAAAAAAAACCAAAATAAAGATGACTAAACTCCAGGAGTCCAGGACAGCTGGGGTTGGGGACAGAGGGAGTCCCTCTGTGGGTCCCCAGCTGTTCACCACCCACACCAAGACATGCATGCATTCTTGGGGTCACTTGGGTGGGATGGGGGTGTCCCTGGCTCTGCACCCTGTTACATGTCACCTTTCCCCTTCTACCCCTTGTCCCAGAAGCCACTGGGGACCGTCAGGGTCTGTGTTTCATTCATCCTTCGTTTCAACACAATTCTTTCTTTGACTTTTTGGGGTCGCCACGGACGCATGAAGCCTGGGTGAGGGCCAAGGAAGGGAGGTGGTTGGGTACTTACTTTTAAGATCTCAGGGGTTGAAGGAGCCGCTGGGGCTGGCAGGCTTGCCTTTATAGCCTCGTCGCCGGCTCCCCACCAGGTTATTAATAGCGAGGTAGTGTCTTGACCAAGTATGGTCAAGAGCTGAGGACCGTGAACTTGGCTGGGCCACGAGCTCTGAGCACCTGACCCGGGCTGTGACGGGGTAGGGGATGGCACACAGCAGTGCCCTCTAACCTACACCGGGCTAAAGCCGTAGGGGGATCCCCAAACCACAAATAGAACTAGCTGTGCTGACACCGGCCTGGCAGCCTGGCACTCGGAATGTGGAGGCAGGAGCTGGGTTACAGTCATCCTGGGCTATACACACACAGTTCGAGGCTAGCCTGGGCTACGTAGAGTTCCAAGACTACACAGTGAGACCCTGTCTCAAGACAGAAAACGAGTCCATTAACTTGAGATTGAACCCTCAGGACCACTGCTACTCAAGCCCCGGAAACTTGGGGTGTCTGGTCACTAGCTTGGGAGGCACAGGGACCTGTTTCCCCCTGCAGAAGGGGTTCGCAGCGGCCCTAGGAGACTGCAGGGGTTTGTCAGGAATGAGCTGGGCTGGGTGGGGACCACAGGTAGCGAGGGCGCCTCCAGTGCCTCCTGCCTCCCCCCGACCCCCGCGACCCGGGTCGGGGCCCTGCGGCAGAGGCATGCCATTCCCTAGGCAGTATCAGCCCCACCAGGTGACGTCGGCGGCACCCAGGCCATGAGCCCACCCTAACGGGATGGAGCCCAGATACCGGAACAGGAGCTGCAGAGCTGGCACACAACCCTCCCCCCCCCCCCATTCCAGGCTGAGCCTCTTTGTTCTAGAACATCCCACATCTGCCTGAAGCTCAGCCCAGGCTTCTCTGAACTTAGCTAATCCAACAGAGACCGGTCTCCTCAAATAAGGCTCATTCCTGGGTCCTGAGGGTTGGCACACTTTCATATTTTGGGTAAAACCAGGGCTTACCAGGAGAGCCTGTGAATGACGACTGCTTTCATTTTTATTAACTTGATTTTGTGAGACAGGGTTTCTCTGTGTAACCCTGGCTGTCCTGGAACTCACTGTGTAGACCAGGGTGATCTCGAACTCACAAAGACCGAGCTGCCTCTGCCTCCCCAGGCCTGACATCATGCCTGGCTTTTTAAACATTTAGAAAATTTTATTTCTGTGTATGAGTTTGTGTTTGTGCACACGTGCGTGCCCCGTGCCGGTAGAGCGCATCGGATTCCCGAATCTGGAACTACAGATGGCTGCGCTGCCGTGGGGTGTGGGACTCGAACCCAAGTCCTCCGCGAGGGCTGCCAGCGCTGACTAGGGTCCTGCCCGCGGCCACTCCACTCTGCTCTCTGCTGCCGCCCCACGGCGGCTGTGCACACGACACCGTCCTCATAATCCACCCTCATAAGTCTGCAGGGGCGTACCCGCGACTGTGGGGGCACGTGGTCTACACAGACCGCGGGCTGAGTCTGGGCGTGGGAGGTCCACGGAACAGAGCTAGACTAGAGGGGGGACCGGAGGGGCCGCGCGCCTTTCCAGGGAGGACATTGGGTCAGCTCACAGCTCAGGGTCTTGACTGTTCCTAGGGCAGGATGATGTCGCAAAGTGCCCGAGGCAATCAATCCTCCTGCCTCAGCCTCCACGCTCTGGGATTACAGGCGCCTATGGTCTGACTTGGGACCACCTCTCCACGGTGCACCTCTTACTGGACGTGCGCCCCCCCCCACGGTGCGCCCTGTTCCGGGCTGTGTGACGCTGCAGGGGACCCGCTGAGCTGCAGCTTTACTAGTTCAACCTCGCGTGTCTGTGTGAACTGTGGGGGACGCCACCCAGGGCGTGTGGCGGGGCATAGCGGAAGCCGGGGGGGGGGGGCGACCCCTGGAGGCTGTGGGGGGGTCCACGCACGGTCCCCGCAGAGCGTGGAACACACGCGGCAGTGCGTGAAAAGCAGCTTTATTCCGGGGTTGCGGGGGGCCGGGGGTCTGGGGTCCCGGGGCGCGGACCCGCAGCCGCACCCTAGCGCACGCCGCACTCCGCCTGCAGCCGCTCCTGCTCCAGCGCGCGCACCAGGTCGCGCACGAACTGC